TTCTAGTTAAAATTAAATCATTGGAAGATCAAATTAATTGATATTTTTCTTTATTCTCATCACTTGTCTGCATAACTTGAAAAATTTTTATAGATATAGTACTTTGTAGGAGAAAGGTTTCTGTCTTGGTCACTCATGAAAGTTAAAGGGTCTAATTGATGAAATAGCTCTGAACCTAAATTTAACAATGGACTTGATCAGCTGGCTGACTTGCAACCTTAATTTCTAGATATCAGTATACAATAATCAATATGTTATAAAAAGCAATTTTTAGTGAGAAAGGAACCTCTATAAGTGGGGATGGAAAGAAAGAAGTTATTTCATGAAACAAGTGGATCCTGTTTTCAAGAGTATTGTTTGCCATTTGTATGTTTTAAATCTTTGTTCAACTTATTTTTTGAAAACAAAAGTTTTTTTGATAGGTAAATATAACAAAATGAGCCCATGTTCCTGTTTGACTGTATTGATAAGGAGCCAACAGATGATTGCTTGATAGAAAGCAAAAAATGTGTGCACTTATTCTCTCTTTGTCAGTATGTTAGTGAAAAGTTCTTATAATTGTTTTCTAAAAAAGTGTCAAGATTGAACTGTTATCACGTTTGTCATAAAAGTATTCTGAGATCAATGTCATATGACCCATTCATGTATTTAACCTTTTGAATTAGCAAGCCATAGTTGACAGAACACAAAGGTTGAGGAAAAAAGAAATTATTATATACAACTTCTCTGCTGATCTATGCCGTTCAATTAACACCCTTCCCAAAATTAGGAAAGGCACACCAGTAAAAAACGAATTTTTGCTCCTTAAAATCTCTGGATCTTCCCCCAGTATTTTGTGACTTCTGTCCAGCCACTAAGCGTTTTTCCGAATGATTCCACAATTGTGGTAGAACTTAAACTAGATAAACTAGTGAGAATGCACAATAGGATGCTTGTAATGAGGCTATATCAATATATATATATATATATATATATATATATATATATATATATATATATATATACACCGGTGTTCCCAAAACCTTTGACAGCTTTTAAGAAAGAAAACTTCGTCGTCAATCCTGTTTCAAATTCCGCAATAAGTTTATGCGCCTCATCAACAAAATTTACGTATCCTAAATTATCTGCATGTCTACCATCAATAGTTCGCGACTTAAAATTCTCGCTATGCTGTTTCTGTTTGTTCCTCAAGAATCATGGGATTTACAGTGATGTTCAGCTACATCACTTGCGGCAGTATCTTCGGTTATGTTTTGCAAGTCATTAAATATTCCATCCCAGTCCCTCTCGACCGAGGTGGTTTTGGTGGATGGAATCTAATGCTGACCCGAACGAGTAACAAACAATATGGCCGACGCGACGAGGAGGAAAGCCCTCAAAAGGGCATGCTCAACCCAGATACCGCTGACCGGTACTGGCGCTGTATATTTGCATTTATCGCGGGAATTCTATTTGCTACACATCTTGTCCATACAGAAGCTGTAAGTTCAGGTCGTGCCACTCTTTCGCAACCTTCAAACTTCTAAGATCTGTTGTTAACTATTCCATGAAACAGGGAATCTATTTGTTTTATGCAATGAAAAAGCAAAAGGTTATTAATCTAAACATCATATATGCATCTTTCCTTCAATAGATCATGAAGATCAAAATGCACATGATTCAGTTTATCATATAAATTACATTGGAACTTCTGTGAACTGTTGCCTTACTTGTTGAGTACAAAAAACTATGAGAGATCACAAGACATTGGAGCTACAGTTTAGGTGACATTAAATGACTTGAAAATGTTCTTTACCCTTTAACTCCCATGATCTCATAAGTGATTCTCTTTACTGTCTGCCAAACAATTCTCATTATGTAAGTTTGGAGAATTTGGTATTGGATCAACTAGTAATCCCATAATTGATATTTTTCTTTATTCTCATCACTTGTCTGCATAATTTTTTATAGATATAGTAAGGAGAAATTCTGTCTTGGTCACTCATGAAAGTTAAAGGGTCTAGAGGAAATAGCCTGAACCTCAAGTTGATAGAAAAAAAATCAAGAAAAAGCAATTTTTAGTGAGAAAGGAAGAAAGAAAGAAAGAAGTTATTTCATGAAACAAGTGGATCCTCTTTTCAAGAGTATTGTTTGCCATTTGTATGTTTTAAATCTTTGTTCAACTATCTTTTAGGAAGTTTTTATGAAATAAAAACAGCCCATGTTCCTGTTTGACTGTATTTACCAGCAGAGTTGTCGGAGAAAGAACTGTGTCACTTGTTCTCTCTGTGTCTGTAAGTGCAAGTAAATTTGTTTTTAAAAAGTGTAATGTGATTTGACAGTGTGGAGGCATATATTTAGGATTTAAAGTTTTGTAGGGATTTTGAGAAAAGAGTTGAAAAAAGCAAATAACCTTGCTGATTATGTTCAGAGTTAACACCCTTTTTACTCACTTGAGGTAAACCTGGATGTTTTTCTTTTTCAGCCACTGGTTTTTTGTCTCATGGCATTCAGAGTATGGATGCTTGGAGGAAATCTACCACATTTTACACTTCAGGACAACCCTACCTCATTTTCAGACTGTCTCAGTTCTCGCATCATGACTTACTCATATCTGATTGCATTCAACTCTTGGTTGCTTTTATCACTGAGTGTGTTGAGCTATGATTGGCAGATGGGAAGCATACCTCTTGTGGAATCGCTGATGGCTCCCAAAACTTAGGCACACTGATGTTTGCCATAATAGCTGTTCTTCTGGTTTATTTTGCTGTGTTCTCCAATGATACCCTGGTAAACAGTGGTTTCTAAATACATCTGCATTTCACTTCAATCATACTGACTTTTGTTAAACATAGGCATGCTCTGTTATTTTTTGGATGGGTGGATGAATTGAAACATTTTAAGTGATGTCTACATTTTTACAAAAGGAAAGAGTATTATAACAGAAAAAAACAGGAATGTTGAGTAAACTCAGACACAGGTATTTTTTGGTTGATTGTATGTGTTGTGCGAATAACTGTAACCAAAAATAAACTGTATTGGTGCCACAGATACCTTAATGGTTCCTGACTCTAACATAGAGTTATTATTATTTTTATTTTAAATAACTCAAAAATGACCCAGGACCTTCAGTTCATTACATGTGTATTTGATTCCATTTTCCTTTGCCTTGCATTCATAATAACAAGCTGAGAAGGAAAAGGGAGCTGATAAAAACAAAGCAGTTTGAAAAAACATAGGCATGCTATGCATGCAAGAATTATTTTTTGGGGGTGGGTGGATTACTTGAAACATTGTATGTGATGTCTACATTTTTACAAAAGGAAAGAAGAGTATTAACGCGAAAAAGAACGAAAATGCCGAATTAAATCTCACACAGGTATCTTGTGGTAGATTGTGTGTGTTGTGCGAATAACTGTAACTAAAAATAAACTGTATTGGTGCCACGGATACCTGTAAGTACATAATGCAGACTGCAGACCGGATACAAAATGTAGACTAGGTACAAAATGTTGACTGCAGAGTGGTTACAAAATGCAGACTGAGAATCTAAAGAGTTTTTTCGCCTGGTATGTGATAGCATGTCATCTTATAACTTACCGAGCGTCACGCAATCGCTCCTCCGTGATCACCTTTCACGATTATGGTAAAATTTCCGCACAGCCCCATACTATTGTTAAACAAATCTGTTTTCTCAATGGCAATGTATTGTTTTTGTCATTGTTTTCTCTATCCAAGAACTGAATGCATAATGAAGTATGGGGCTGTGCGGAAATTTTACCACGATTATTTGCACTATTGTGGAATATTCCTAGCCCGTTTCTTGATCAAAGTCGATCTTAATATAATTTCAAGCCTTCATATAGTCTTCTCCCTTTGCGCACGAGTTGTTTGGTGTGATGTCTGTACAGATTTTACTAACAATTAAAGTAGATGTAGATGTAAATGAGATGTCACTATTGAATATTTAACGCACGCAATATTTGAGAAACAATGACAGCCTTGCACGTGGTCCGTATTATTATCTTTTAAGTAGTATGTGTTTATTTTGTCGACAAAAATGCGGACCGAGACCAAAACTGTTCCTTGGACTTGATACATTTTCGACGTTAGTGGATTACATCATATTAACTTACCTCCGTAAATCATTCATTCCAGATAACAAAATCAAATAAACATGCCAACGATGGTATCTGGATTCGTCCATGGCCAAACACGAACGACTTCACAAGATCACTTTCTCCAGGCATCGGAACCATATACAATATCTTCCATGGTTAATTTTAATCAGACATTCATCTAGAGATCGAGATAGCACCGAGCAAACCAATCCAGAAAAATACAATCGGCCTAATCAACAACTCATGAATCTTGCAACACAGCTTGCCGTTAAAGAACTGCTAAAATCAAAATGTTTGGTGCAATTCATCAACACCTCAAGTAATATTTGATTCCAAATTTTTCCACTCACTCTCGTCGTGAAGGAACAATAACCATGATCGTGCTACATTGCACAGGACTCCATTTTCTCTCGAACAACTATCCACCATTTTCACAGCATGTAACACGTTTACTATAGGTGATATATTTCATCTGACCAGTAGTATCGCATTTCTCATAAAGCGCGGTAAAATACACGATAAAAATACAGAAAAGCCAACATTTCTCATTCTAAAAGATGATTACATTTTACGAACCGCTCTCTCCGAATCCCGCATTACTTCGTTGAGCACCTCTCAAACCAAAAACAAAATCGACCCTCTGATTGATGCGAGATACATACCCTAAACGATCTGATTGGTGCGAGCAACATACTACTCTCTATACGCTGAGGTGGAGTTTTTTGTTTTTTGTTTTTTTTAATAACTCAAAAATAGAAACAAACAAACAAAAGCAAAAAACCTTAAGCCATTTTGTGCACAAGTAAGGGAAATTTTCAGAAACTTTCTGTTACTCTTTGAATCCTAAACCAGTTCCTGCACGAAATAAATTAGTTTGGTAAAAACTGGATCACCGTTGTTGAATTTCTTGCCTTCTGATTGGCTGAACCGAGTTATGTTATGACCTTGTAACCTAGCTCACAGCTCATAACCTAGCTACGACAAATATTGTTAATGAATTCGTTTGCAAGCGGGCAAGTGCACGAGCGAGCCTTGAAGAAATGGCCGTAAAAAGTCGGTTTGCCCCAGAGTATGAAACTTAAAAAAATAGCAGAACTAATAGAAAATGCGACTTCCATATCCACCAAAAAGCCACTAAATTTGGTATGAAAATTTTCAAGGAATGTAACGGAAATTTAGGCAGTTTTGCTTGATACATTACATGATTAATTTGCATGTTGCAACGACATTTGGGACAAGGGAAAGTCAATTGTCTTCCGGTCGTTGTCAAACCACATAATAGCTTGTTGTTAGGGTTATTTCTTTCTGTTTTTACTCCAACAATTCATGATTCTACTCAGGCTTACCGAATATAAGATTACCATAACCAACGGGGCACGTATAATTGTTAAATATTCGGTGTTTTAATTTTCGGCCACCATCATTGACATGAGCGTTTCTCGGCAAAATTTAATCAAATGTCCAACAAATCTGCATTTAAAAGTAGTAGTAAAATTTCTTCATTTCCAGAAAAGAGGAAAATCACTAAAATTAACTTAAAATTTCAGAATATAGGCCAAAAACTACCATTAATTGTAATATTTCAGATTTTAGTTCTGGTCAATCATCTCTTTTCATAAACTGACTGGTTTTCCGGTCCGGAAAGACTTCTCAATAGCTTCCACGACGGTGAATGAACGTAGTACATCATCTTTGGAGATGAGCAAATTGTCTTTGTGTTTGATTACGTCGATAAAGTGATTCATTTCTAACTCATAAGCTTGGGAATATCGTTGTGGGAAGGAAACTTTGATGGGATTCTGTGTGCTCCCACTGGCATGAAAATAGGTGGCACAGAGACTGCTTTGATTGTCGCTGGTGAGCATTCCACCAGATCCAAACACTTCAACACGTTGATCATAGCCATAAACAGCATGGCGTGACATATCTATCTGACCGATGGCGCCACTTGGAAATTTCATAACCACTCCAACTGTATCTACATCATTCATAGCTCCGATGTGCGCATGGAAGGCATGGGCGAGACAGAAGACTGTATGAGGAGCTTCACCCAGCATCCAGCATAGGAGATCTACGTCATGAACGCAGGAGTCATGGAAGATCCCTCCGGAAATCCTTATATAACCTTCTGATGGCGGAGCGGAGTCCCGACTAGTTGTCTTAACGACCTGAATGTTGCCAATGTCGTCTTTTCGAACTCTGTCGAACACAGACCGAACTGTTGGATCGAATCGTCTGTTGAAAGCGCACAGCAATGGAAGGTGTTGGTTGTCGGCCTCCTTGTAACAATGCTCTGAGAAACATCGTAAAAAAACGAATAAATAAATGGATTAAACAATCAATCAATTAAAACTGTGAGGGGGACAAATTAGTCATAAAAATGTGACGAGCAAGACGAAAATAAGTGAAATACAGGAGCGTATCCAGGAACATTTGATGGGAAATGGATTCAAATTTTGACTCAGAAAACACAGAAGTTGTCATTGTTAAATAGGCCTGGGAATATTTCAGAACATGTAAACTTGAAATATCTAATATTGTTTATTAACATGCGATTCTGCCAATGCTCTGAGAAACATCGTAAAAGAACGAATAAATAAATGGATTAAACAATCAATCAATTAAAACTGTAAGGGGGACAAATTAGTCATAAAAATGTGACGAGCAAGACGAAAATAAGTGGAATACAGGAGCGTATCCAGCAACATTTGATGGGGAATGGATTCAAATTTTGACTCAGAAAACACAGAAGTTGTCATTGTTAAATAGGCCTGGGAATATTTCAGAACATGTAAACTTGAAATACCTAATATTGTTTATTAACATGCGATTCTGCCGTTGTAAGAATTTGGTGTCAGGGGTCTGGATAACTTTTTACCTATAGCCTGTAAGGTAGGAGCAATTGGTTTCTCACAGAAGACAGCTTTTCCCGCTCGTAAGCAGCGCATCACAATATCCTCGTGCATCTTAGTTGGAGTAGCTACCACTGCAGCCTGAACGGTTGGATCAAGTAACGCTTTGTCCATGTCGGATGGGGCAATAACTTGTGTATCCATGAAATTTTCTGTCACGAACTTCTTGGCCTTGTCTTCGTCAATATCTACGATCCATTTCAGGGTTGCCTGTGGGTTTCGTATGAGGTTCGTGGAATGGATGACACCTGCTCGACCCAAACCAAACACCACAAAACCGATACGGGAACTGTGACTCATAGTAGTAGTAAAAGACTAATAAAATAGAAAAAGCGCTATGGGTCACATTCAGCACGACGCACAACAACAGGAAGACTAATCACTGAAGCAAGGACAATGGCATTCAACTATGTCTTGAGCTGATCAGTTGATCAGTTGATCAGTCAGTAAGTTGATTAGTCTCGAGTTGCGTCGAGTCGCGTGACCGTGTTAACCTGCCGGGAATAATCGATCTTTGTTCACATTAGCGGAGTCAAAACTGACTTCGCGCTTAACTTTACTCTCATAAAGAAAAATCCATCTTTAATTTTAGTTCCTTATGAACCCTACAAGTGACCGACTAACTGATGGATCGATCAGCATTTTAAAATAAATGGCGCGTGAAAACGTAAGTGGTATGATTGCTAATCACATGCTAATCACATTTTCCAAAACTGACCTAAACTTAAAGCACAATAAAATCTAAAGTTAGCTCGGAGGCGAATAAACGTATTTTGAAATAAGAATCACTTCAACGCTGACAAAGTAAATCTGGGGATTTTCTCGATGATTGATAGAATGCATTCACAACCCAAAATACAAAGTGAATTAATAATTTGTTTGAGATGCAAAACGAAGACATAAGTGTCACGCAACGCTATTATAAAATGTCCTCATATCATAGCACGAAAAGAAGGTCCACGCACTGAAATGATTTCCTTCTGTCTGCAATGTTTGTATTTTCTTACTTTCGTTATGTTCTGAATGCACAGGTGGACTCACTTATGTGCAAAGGAGTCTTACGACGCTTGTTGACTCTAAAATATCTTCGGCGTTGATGAAAATTTAGCTTTAAGATCTGGTCAATGTTGATCGACATCTGTGTGGTTCACACGTAGGTCGGAGAGCTTAAACCACGACTATTTACATTTTTTCTCTTTTGATATTTCATAAAAGAGAAACGAGTGACGTATGCCTTAAGACAAGATTTCCGGATGAGCCTACAGTTGAGTGGCTACCTTAGTTCCAGTGTCGACAGAAACCGAAAACGGAACAGTAGACGTTCCCTAACCAGAGCAACGTGACAATACGTCTTACCAAACTGTTCAGAGGCAAAACGTTACAATACTTACGGATTCTCTTATTGATTATTTAGCAGCTGGACGGTTTCCGACGCGAGGCTTCCGACCCTTTCCCTCAACACATCGAAAGTTGGGCAGATCGTAGCGCAGGCGGTGTCCGCACTCTGATTGCGTTGCATTGTGGAAGCGTTATTTTTAGAAGAAAACTACTTTGACTTCATTGTATGTAAATTCACACCTGATAGTTGTAGCGTTGCTGTTGTGTCTTCCGTTGTAGTTATGTCCTCACACGTAATAACCAATAGAATGCGGTTTTATTTCTTCCAATCAAAGTGTGTTGTGAACGTGTCTTCTGCGTGTCACTTCCCAAGTAGGGGAGGGATGCAATGCAAAATTGTGAGACTATCGTTAAGTTTTCCGCGCTCGAAGTTTGAGAATTTCATGGGCTATTCTTGTTTCATGGGCTTATCCTTGATGCCTTTTGGGACACTTCGGATTGTTGAAAGATTAATATTCTTGTTGCGTTTTTAAGCGCGAAGTATCAGTGAAATTTTCTTCGATAAGTTGGAAAGGTTAGGAAGACGAGAATTTGACATTGCCTCGTAGCTTCCCTTATTGGTTTGGAGTGCGCTGGTGATCGAAGTTGTGCTTTTTTGTCGGAACTAGTAAAGGAAGGTAAGGTTTCGGTTGCATCTTATGCTAGTATTTTGTTAAATTTAAATGTTACGACCATTCTTCAAAGATCACGTTCAAGTTTTGGGCTTATGCATCTATCATCGGCCATCCCCTGGGAGGGGACCCCGGGCAAGGGTGGGGACTTTGTAAAGGACCCTGTCAAAGTTCTTATTTTCCCCCTCCTAGGTGGGGACACAGAGGAATCAAAGTTCCTCTCCCTGAGGGGAATCACCTTGAGCAGCTTGAAACCTGACAAGAAAACAGTACTTTATACCCTTAACGAAATGTCATGTTTTAATAGTGCTTACATGTTGGTAACAATGCAAATTTCAATGTACTGCTAAATACAATTACACAAAAAAATGTTAACCAAAGTCCCCTGTTTTCCCCGCGGTGCAAGGCTTTTGGAAACAAACCTCCCTCATTTCCCCCGCCTCCAGGGTAAGTTAATCGTTCAAATCCCCGTATAAGTCCCCATTCAACGTTGAATTTGCCCGGGGTCCCCCCCCAGGGGATGGCCGATGATAGATGCATTAGTACTGTAGATTTCATGTGACAGCATGGCAAAAAATCCTTCAGTGTCGAGGGCTGATTTTTTTTTATTTTGCGTGGGACATGTAAAACTAGATGTTACATAATTGAAAAACAGGGCAGATCTCGGTGTTTATGGATACAGTGGAAGACATGTATTCATTGTAAATGTATGGGACTACGCAAAAATTCAACCTCTGGTATGGTTGATGTCAAATATCACATATCCTGGGAGGTTAACTCACAAACTGCTAACTCGTATGATGAAGATCTGGTCTCTTTCATAAAGGATAGGGTGCTGTCTCCCAATGCTCTCCAACAAGTAACAGTTGGGTTACAATGTATTAAATCATTCTCTTTGCTCACCCAGAGGGGACAGAATTGCAGCAAAATTACTCTTCACTTAATAATTAGTGCTTTTCTATTTAAATCAGTGGCTGACATATGCCACTTTCTTTATTTTGATCAATTTAGAGTAAAGTCCCTTGTACCAAATTATAAGGAATATGATAATAATATGTAGGTTATATGTTACCACATTATCCATACTTTTTCAACTATGTGTCACAAACATTAAATGAAATAAACACTAATTCATGCAGAAATGAATACTTAATTCAATACAGACTATTGCCTACTATTAGCAATTATTGCTCCTACATGTGTTAGCAAGAACTTGGTCTTGTTGGCATTCATTGTGAGCATTTGGTGATCTGTATATTAGTGGAGAAACTCTCTGCAACTATCTTTGCTTAGAAAATACCAATCCTTTCTCCCTTACTTAATATCATTCATACAGGCATGGATGAGAACCAGCAGCAAAGCAAAGAAAACAAAAGTGCTGATGAGGTGGTTAGCTCTATTCTAAACATTTTCTTGGCGAATTATGCACTAGTTATAAAAAGGTATATGTTGTGCTTAATTTTTGTCCTTGGTATAAACATCATTTTCCTTTGGTTTTGTTAATGATATGAATGAAAAATGCATTTTGTGTAAAGAAAGATAAAATTTAGCTCCTAGCCTAAGTTATGATGAGATGATGTGTCACTATCAATTTGGCCTCTATTAAAAGTAAAAGAATTAAACTAAGGATAAAACTAAACCACAGCATACCTATACTAAACCACAGCATACCTATACTAAACCACAGCATACCTATACTAAACCCTCAGCCTATTTGTATCAATATTACTATTTTTTCTGGTGTTCACCCAATAGATTCAATCCACTCACAGACAAAGATGGCACCTGTGCATTTTACTATTACTCTTTGGCTAAGGCACTCGTAGAAAGCAATATTTCACAAAACAACAACATTATGTATGCAAGGTTTAAATTTTTCAGACCTTTACTGCTTGTTTTTATGAGTGGTTCCAGTATTTTCTTGCACAAAGAGTTCTGGTTGAATGTACCAGTCACCATGTTTTTTGGTATGGTGGTTTACAGTAATTGTTGTATGAAGTAACCTTCACCAATATTAATTTTGTGAACTTGTCACTGACAAAGAGCTAGTTCATGATTAGACATTGATCGTTTCATTAATTGCCATGCTCTACATTTATCATTGAAGTACTAATTGACTCCTTTGCCATCAGTAATTGCATTAAAGATACTGTGTTAGAAATCACAGCACTGTACCCCTAAATCTAATGTCGTCCTCAGCACAATCTCATTTTTTGGGCAAGGCAAAAGTAAAAATCAAACAAGACCACACAGACATCATTATAGAGACAACATTGCTATGTATAATGTTTATATAGTTAGTTACATAAAAGGTACTCTATTCATTAATTCAGTGTCAATATTCACCCTTGTAGCAGCTATAATTTTCAGCCAACTTGGGAAATAGTGGCCTAAAATGGACCCTTTTGGACATCTAAACTTTTAAATTTCCAGGGGAAGGTTCCCCAGACTTTGCCATCCAAGTGGGAATAAATGGCTGTCACACTGTCATTTTGGTCCCTCCCAGCTGCTCAAACGTTGTCCCTCCTTTCCACAATCTTACCAAAGCCCCCATATGTGTAGTAATAAAAACATTGAAGTGAAGTGTGTTATCTCAGCAAGAGGTGATAATCATGCACACTTTTAAGTGAGTCATCAAAGCAGATGTTTGGCGAAGTATTGCATTCTGTGCTCAAAATCTAGTTCATGTAGACCTGGGAAAAAAGAATGGGGTGTAGCAGCCATTCATGTCGTTTAATTGCTCCAAGCTCTAATTCGATACCACTGTTCATTTGGCTATCTTTCTTGCCAATACTGTTTCGTTATTTGGGTTTTCTTGAAGACACTTCCCATTGAGAAGAAGCATTATATGTGTTTACAAATTAGAAGTAAAAAAAGTGAAAGAAAATAGGAGAGTGACAGGATGGTATCAAAGACAGTGGAACAATTTTTTTTTGCAGGGGGGTCATTTTTTTATTTTAAATCAGAGTTTTAGCCTAAGTATGTCTAAGTTTCTACACTTGTTGTTTAGTCTTGTGACTTCTTGCTTTAAGAAGTGAGGTAAATTTGTTTGAATTTGTTTTTTTCATGACAGCCACTTGAGTCTGTAAATGGAAAGAAAACACTGAAAAATCACGATAAGGAATACATTGCTTGCACTATAAAGTATTGAAAGTAATTTGCAACTCTCCATATTTGTTATTTGTAATTGCACAGGTGTTGTGGGGTTAGTGGAGAAGTTAACTGTATTTCAAAAATTAAATCACTTTAAATTGCAGTGAAAGCTATTACTTTTATAGTTATAAAAGTATCAAAGGTAACTTCTCTGAGAACCTTCTCCAGTGTCTGTGATATAGAAGTGTCCACTAAATATAGGTTCATTTATTAAGAAATGTGGGAAGAATAGTATGCAACTGAAAATACAAGTAAGTACTGGAAAAGAATATTTATTCCTTGCTAGTAATCTCAGAACAGCTGTGTGGAGCTGGAAATTAACAGTGCTGGAATACAACAGTAAATCCTGCTGATAAACTGAGAACAGCTGTGTGGGGCTGGAAATTAACAGTGCTGGAATACAATAGTTAACTCCTGCTGAGAAACTGAGAACAGCTGAGAGGGGCTGGAAAATAACAGTGCTGGAATACAACAGTTATCCACTACTGAAATTCAGAAACAGGAAACTTTTAAATACTTTTGTGCAACAATATACTGAGCATGCAGTAATATCTTCCATTGCCTCAATTCCAGTTACTTGTAGAAAGGTCATCTCTGAACCATTAAATAGGATCTGTTTTACCCGTTATGGAAGGAAAAAATCTTAACCCTTTAACCCCTAAGAGTGACCAGAGACAAATCTTACAGTTTTAATTTGATAGCTATGGCAACATCAAAATCTTGTGAAAGATAGGAGGAGAAAGCATTGTAGGAACGGTCAAAATTCTGGTACAGGTATTTCATGAAGACGAATAATAAATGTATACACGACTGTTGGTGTGTCTGGTGCCAAAAGATTCCCTTTTGTCTAACCCTGACCCAAAAGGTTTTATCGTTTGAGTCTAAGGTGAGGCCAGATGATGCTCACCTGAGGCAGGACTTTTAATTGGGACTTTGTGTTTTTTCCGGCTCTACTCAGAGAGGTTCAAGTTAGAGGACATTTTTCTGGAAAACTTCCCTTCCCTCTTATTTGGACTGCAACAGCATTGTGCTTGTTTGTAATTTTCTCATTTATATTTTTATTCCAGTTCGGTGTCACAAGTGTCGAGGGTTTGGCCACGTACGTGCCGAATGCCCAACGAGACGCGGCCCGGTTGTGCCCCACCAAGAAAAGCAAGCGGCAGATCAAGGAAAAGAAGTGATAGTGAATAACTATCATTTTCACGCCTCTCTTGACAATGTAAGATTTCACTTATAAGTTTAGTCAGTTATCTTACATTGCCAAGAGGTTTATTTTATACTTTAATACTAATAATCAATTAAATAAAAACGTACACGTGATTTATCAGTATTATAAATTTAATGTATATTGTTTCTTTTTTTATTTTTACGTGATCGAAAGGCATTAAATATTTGGAAGAGAAACTTAAAACTTGTCCTTTGCTTACATAGATTTTTCTTTTGTTAAGCCCTGCTAAGTGACTCTTGATGTCATGTCAAGTTCTCCATTGGTTCCACAAGTAAACAGACACCATGTTGGAATGAGACGATAGTAGTTCATCCCAAGTCACCAAGGGCTTCTTTTGCACTCAACCCTTTAATTATTCTGTTACAATGTTTTATCTGACGGTGAATAGTACCCGTGGGTCTCTACGTAGTTGTTCACTTTTATAACGCAAAGATAAATCAATAGTTTGCCGTCAATGTATGCACATGCATCTGTGTATACAGCGACTTCTGGGGAAATTTCTCATTGCCTGAAAACATTTTTAACGCTAAACTGACTTAAATTCCAAGGGTGTGAGGAATATGCAGACCTTTTCAACAATCAGAACATCACAGTGGTAAAACATAACACCAAAACTTGCAGACTGATAAACTGATATTTTATAGGGAAGGCTACATTCTCTTTTCCAGCAAAATAATCTCCTCAGACTCAGACTCAGACTCAGTGATATTTGCCGATTTTCCATTTTTTTCAACGAATTCTAGAAAAACGGGATAAATTCTACGAATTCATCCGCAAGTGGCCAACACGCTAAGTTCCCATATGCCATCTTTACTCAGATTTTCCATTTGATCAGCGAATTCTAGAAAAACGGGGTAAATTCTGTGAAATTCATTCTTTAGGTGGAATATATCCTACTGACTTGCCATAGCCAACTTTACCCCGATTTTCGATTGGATCATTGTGTGAATTTGTCATAAACGGGGTAAGTTATGACAAATCCACCCAAACGTGCAATAAATCCAAAAATGATCTAGAAACAGTACTAAAAAAAGAACAGCTAAAATCAGCGGGACCGCAATAAAATCACATCACAATCTACTACTTCAAATTTTTACGGAGGGCTTAGTGCGATACAGCAAAAACCTACAATATTTAAAATAAACAACCAAAGGCCAAACTTCTGTGATTCAAGGAAGACTTCGTGACGCGACGCAGACAAATTATCACAACTTTGACCTCTCAGTCGATCTCACCTCCAGCAGATCAACGAAGCGTCAAAAATATATAATTTCATGCCGACGAACCATAATCTATGATCTTCAACTATTAAACAAAATAAAACAATTGTGATATGACGCCACATTGTGCTTTTGTCTTAGCTTGTGTGTAAAATGTTGTCAATGGAGTCGCAAGTCGAACAATGAGGACAGTAAATAAAGCAAGACTGCAAATAAAGCGTGAACAATAATGCGGGTATCAGCGGCCATCCCGAGGGGTCGACCCCCGGGCAACCCAAGGGCAACCCACGGGCTTAGCAGGGGATTTGTAGCAAAGGCATGCCCCGCACGCGGGGCATTAGAGCGCTTTTGCGTTTTTGGCAAAATACCCGGGGGCCATACCCACGGGATTTGCACGTAATCTGCTGTCTCAACGTTCAGCGGTTTTCGCCACAGGACAAGCAAGCTCGCTCGCTCGATGTTCTTCTAGCCCTCGAGGTAATATTTTCCTGTGTACCATGGTCAAGTATTGTGCTGTTGCTCTGTGCCGTAATGGGAGTAAGAAACGACCTGATCTCAGTTATTTTTGCTTTCCTACAAGGCCCAATGAGCGTAAGAAGTGGGAGGTTTTCTGTAAGCGAGCGGATAAAAAATTCAAGACACTCGGCGATCCAAGAATCTGTTCATTGCATTTTAAGGAAAGCGACATCGAGATTTCAATTTCATACGGTTAGTTCGCATTCGAAGCGTCTTGCCGATAGGAAGAGACAATGTGATGAACAACCGCAAGCCAAGAAAGTTTGCCCCAGAAAGCTCGAATTTGAGGACTCCATAGAGACTTGTGTGGATTTTAGTGCTGATGTGGCTTCAGTAAACCATGATCACTCGTACTTTTGCATCGAGGAACAGGCAACATGCAACACCGACTATATGTTGCCCAGGTTGCTCCAGGGGTGGGGGTATTTGTCCCAATTTTTTGCCCTACCCGAGGGGCTTTAGCATGTATTTGTCACGGCAGCTGTGACAAATGCCCCTGGGTGCCCGGGGGTCGACCCCTCGGGATGGCCGCTGATACCCACATAACGCATCTTTTGGTCGAAAGTCGCTTTGTTATTTACGTAGCAAGTTATTCTTCCACGTTTAGGCTATAACAACGATGCGATCACACGGCGCTAAAGAAGGAACGATAGAACTTCAAAGAAAATAATGTGAGAGGCCAATGATCCGGTTCGCAGTGATCATGCGAACAGCATGTTTTCCTGAGATCAGTTACCGGAAAATACTGGTCAAATTTTCCACTTATCCCGACCCCCTCGAATAAGTAGTTTTGCTTGAAGACATAACTACAACGGAGTCTCTTAACCAGTCCCAAGCCGCGTGTCGCTCGATAGATCACAGGATATGATTGGCCACTCTATCACATTACGTCAGAGGACATATCTGCAATGAGAGGACATAAGTGCAACGGTACAGATAGTTTTAGACAGAGTATTTTAAAAGGCCAAAATTTGACAAATTTTACTTACGAAAGACGTCAACAACAACGTATCGAATATCATAATTTGATTAGCGCTCAGTCAATCTTTTAATGGTTTAATTAACAGTATCAATCGGTGAGGTCTAAAATCTCTGTCCTACTATATTTTCAACTTAAAATGGTCAAAATCTAAGATTTATCGAGCGACTTATATAAAACGGTCGGAGTTTACTTAAGGAACTCATTTGCATAATCGGCTGTCACGCTAGCAAAATCGCTAAAAGTTTGAAGTCACCACGGCGAAGAAAATTAATAAGTGCAAGATGTTTTTATATTTTTATGCTGCAAAACACCTTATTAGAAGAAATCAAGCGAAGTTCTTGATGGTCTGGTCTGGACTTGAGCAATATCAACCAAGAAAGAAAGATTACTTTTGACCAATTTCAGAAAGCTGTCTAACGAGTGTTTTTAAATAAATTATGACGAATCTCTGAATAAACGAATATCAAAATTGAAATGCTTTTTATACACCTTACATATCACACAGTTTAAGAATACAAAAGATCTTTTGCTGCATGCGGTGTGATACGAGGACCGGGCTTTTTAACTTTTGAAATTTCCGATGTCGCAAGAGGTCAAAAAAGGGCCTTTTGCAGCTTTGACTATTGAGAGCTCTAAAAATTTTATTTTAACGTATTTCTAGAAACTAATGTGGTTCTATTTACTTGCTATCAAAGATAGATTATTGGGCAAAGTTTGAGGGAAACTTTGTTCCGATGCGAAATGCCCTGGATGGCTCTTACAGAGATCGCCATTTGATATTAGGCTCTGTTTCACTAAATGAACCCCTGGCACAGACTGGAAGAGGATAATGCTGTCTAGAGTTGATGCATTAGCAAATGCTAACAAACCGACACATTTTAATGATTTAACTCCGTCAATCATAGGAGAGATCATTTGCTTCTTTCTCTAAACAATGTTAAAACGAAGGTGATAAGCGGTAAGAAAAAGCCATATCGGGGAAAGTCCATGTACTGCACAACTTCAAATTCTCCAGAAAATCAATCAGACTGAATGTGAGGGTGTCGCGATTTAGATTTGATGAGGTGAAGTAAGGGCGTTCTCTGGTCAATTAGGAGAATATTTTAGCAGCAGTGCCTTAAGGATATCGGCTGATTTGGTCCATAATCGAACAACTGAGAAAGCAGAAAACCAGAACATGAAATCACGGATCAACTCTTTATGGCAAGTTATATAATTAAAGACCTCCTATCATAGTTACAAAATCCAAAGGCAAAGCTTCCATTATTGCTCGTTTATTTATTTTTCATTCCGTTTTAAAACTCTTAACTAGCCTCAAATCAAAAGAAAACTTTACAAAGACAATCAAACACCAGATTATTTGATTTTAATTACCCAAGGGAGGCAAACTAATATAAATATTATAGTACACGCTGTTTCACATTTCTTTACAGCCAGCTATATACAGAGGCATTTTCAATGTCGCAAGAGGTCAAAAAAGGGCCTTTTTCAGATTTGACTATTGAGAGTTCTAAAACATGCTGTTTCACATTTCTTTACAGCCAGCTATATACAGAGGCATCGTTGGTATAAGTTAATATCATTAACAAGAGATTTAAAAGAAACGGGGAATCAAAACTGCTCGCTTAGCTTCAATGAGTAAGCAGGAATATATTAAATTTACATGATTGATATGAAACACACTTTAAAGATAGAAATGCAAATCTTCAGCCAGAGACGCAAAATCAAGTTCAGTTCAGTCATGAATTTGTTTGTACATTTAGAGACATGATATTCCATTCTTAGTAGATGATTACAAAACCTCGACACAAGGAATGTTTTCTGTGAGACAGATAACTGGTTGTATTAAACCGCTGAAGATAACATTTTGTAAGCCATTGCAACACGTCTGTACGTTTTGATGAGGAAACGTCATATGTAACCATAGGTCATGTCGTCTTGCAGTCTGGCCACGACGTCGAGATCAAAGGCACTGGCCTGTCAGATGAGAGAACAAACAGAAATACCTTAGTTTATTTTTGGTTTTCCCGCAAGTGATACTTTACATTTCTGCAGATGAGACATAGTGGACGACCAGATAAGTTGTCATAGATACCTTTATCCTGCACAAGAATTTGTTTTTGGGAAGGATAAGACACGCCTATGTTTTACGTTTAAAATGAAAAGCATTTCATTTTGACTGGCGATAACAATAAAGAACGTTATCAAGCGGGGACATCTACTCAATAATAAAACAACTCGATACAGTGAAGCTTGGTCTTCGGTAAAATATTGGGCGCTTTTCTAATACAGGGAGTTAACTGTTAAACTTACTTTTCCAGACTACTCTTTGGTTAAACATTTCGTGTTTCCAGATACTGAGGGAAAACCACATGTATGTCTTTTCTTTTTTTAGCTAAAGCGAAATTTGGATTGCTGCTCATCAACGTAACGGCGAATAAGAACGGAAAATGTAACAAAGAGCCCATAATTATTCAACAACAAGAAAACGAGCAAACTGCCTGAAGTCCGAGAAATGCCAACAAATGTTGGATTTGTCATAGCCTTCAATTGAGAGGCTGATGTGAGTTTTTTTAAGATTAATCCCATAGCAAAGTAAAGAAAAAACAACGCAATTAATCCCGTCGCCCAGTTGTAAATTGCTCTAAAACAATTTCCAATTCAGCGTCGAAAGTACTCTGGAATTGCTTCATTTTAGCTTTACTTTGCTTTCTAAATCGTCCAGAAAATTCGCACCACTTTCTCAACCAATCAGATTCAAAACTAAAACCAATCACGACTCAGTCGCCCGCGTTTTCCCGCGCTTCAGGCAGTTTCGTTAGATTTACTGAGTTTTCATTGGCCCTTAATGGTACTTCCCTTTCTTCTGATTGGCTTAACGACACTCAATCGAAAAACGCTCCATCAGACTTACCCTGCTATACCATCTCTTTGCTTGCTCTCTATTTTTCTCCACTCCTAACCCATGATGCAAACAACGCGCAAAAACAAAACATCCCAAAGCGATTCCTTTAGCTACATAGCGAGGTAGACAATCTGTCTCAAGAGCAAGACCTTCGATGTCCTCTTGCTCTCCCACACTGCATGATGGGGGTTTGTAAGCACAAACAAAACGAACAAACAAATAAAAACAGAAAAAGTGAGCTAATGTTCAATTGAGGATAACACTCGACTTCCCCACCTTTCAGAGCAATTCTGTTTTTCTTGGATTCACCCTTACCATTACAGTAACAAAATATTCAAGACGGTTTCAATGAGGTGACAGCTTTTATGGCTATCGGTTAACATTTTGGCCATTTAAAGGTTTAAGGTCAACTTATTTCCCTTGTGTTTACAAAAGAAAAGTATTTTACAGCTAACTTTTAAGGACGAACGATTAAAATTGATCAATTTTTACAACTAATGGCTAAATTTTCTGACCTTCCTACGGATAACGGTTCACCCCAATGACACCCTCATACAAAACTGCAGTTGTTTATAGCAAAGACTATCTTAACATAAAATAACAATGATGTGTATATGACACCTTTTTGCTACATCTGCAGCCTTGTTTAACAGTTTTCTCCTGTAATAATGAACAGCCAAGTTTCCTTGGGCGTAGACATTGCCTCTGGCTGCTGCCTCCTTGAGACACTTGAAGGCTGCTTCTCCATCTCGCCGCACACCAATACCATATTCATACATCACACCTAATGCACCTGATGGTATCAGGAAAGTGGTGTTAAATTACACACATGCAAGCAAAATACTCTGAATTCTTGTAATTTTGCAAAACATGGAAAATTTTAATTATTGTACCTTGTGACTCCAGGCTCCCATTACCTGTGGCTTCCTGATGCCAAAAGTAAGCCTGAAGAAAAACATGATGAGAACAAATGAACATTATTTTATAGTTTACTCTGATGTGTTACAGATAAAAAAGTTTCAATATGAAAAAGGTAGGGATAGATGTTCTGATTAACCTAGGATTCCCATTGGAGTACATGACCTATTAAAAAGTAAGACTATAAGCAGTGGCTATTGCCTCTTCCAGGGGCACAGTTAGTAAAACAAAGCATGATAGTAAACTGCTCAAAAATTGTAGGAGGATGAAAAAAGAGTGATGTTTGGATCTGTTCATGTTCATCAAGTGACCAGTGCAAAAAACCTCCATCTTTCTTTTTCTCACTCTACTATATTTCACAGTTATTCACCACAGTGGAGGTAATATAAACCACTTTCACCAACATTGAGGTTAATACATTTTTTAGTGTATACCATACAGATACAAAAAATCAATGTATTTCCCTCACTATACCAAAAAATAGACAGAAATTAAAATGTTGATGCCTGATTTCGCCTCTTCAGCTGCTGTGAGGTGAATATCACTCCCTATTCACCTCCAAATTAACCAATTAGCACGTGCAAAAAAGGACTATAAACTTTAGTGGTATGGACCATATTAAATGTGTACCATTTAATATTAGGCCCTGTTTTACTAAATGAACCCCTGGCACAGACTGGAAGAGGACAATGCTGTCTAGAGTTGAGATACATTAGCAAATACTAACAAACCTTCTGTAAGTCAAAAGAGTCTTCACCAGGTCTGGAGTAGAACAAACCCAATACTGTTTGAGCCTTTATGCTGCCTGTAGGTTCACCATCTCTTGCTGCTTCAAGAAACCATCTCTCTGCTTCCAGATCAGACTGTTTGATGCCAAACCCTTCATAATAAGCTCTGCCTACATTATACTGGGCAAAGGGTATGAGGTGAGCTGCCTCAGGACTGGTGGACTGTGCAATTTCTTTAAGGAAATTAAATCCTTTTTCCTGGTCAATGCATGGAAAAAAGGAAAAAAGATTAAAAGGTTTCAAGAAATAACCCTTTCACTTTCAAGACCTGATTTTTTTATTCTCCTTTCTAGTTGCTAGACATTTCCTTCTGAACCAGTTACGAGAATTTGGTGTTAGATCAATACAACTTCTACCCAGTTAGCTTGAGTATTCTGATTACCCGTTTGCTGGGTAGCATAAAGATATTATGGGGAGAAGTCACATGCTAATAACTTCTTGAATTTGAATGGTTAAGGAGTGTTTACCCCAAAAAAGTTATACTAGCCAAGGTTTTATTGGGATAAAAAGTTAATTTTTTAACGTGTTTTAGAGTGCTTCTGTGTTTGCCTTAGCCTAATAAGTCGACCATGACAATGCCATCTTTGACTTTTAAAAAATATGCTTGTACCTCTATTTCTAGTTAAACGTGATATAAATTCATTCCTGAAACAAGAAGTTGCTCTTTGTTACTTGCGATTATAACATCGCGGGCGCGTATGTTCTACCTATTTCCTAATAGGCCATTATGGTGTGTATAACTATATACACACGGCTGTGAGCACATAACATGACGTGTGTAGTTGATAAACTTTAAACAAAGAACAACAAATCCCGGCGGTCAGACAATAACAAGTAAAAGAATGATCCTAGGCATATCTAAAATTAACTTCAGATAGTAAATTTGTATCGTATTATACACATCCTGAGCTTCATTCCAATCATGTAAACAATCATTACGCTGACCAAATATTACGTCAACCTTCGTTTCGAAGCAATTCAATGCTTACCGGGTTGGGCTTTGTTCCAATGCCATCATAATACATTACTCCAAGTTGGTATTTTGCTTGAAAATCTGTGCTCTTGATTCTTTCAAAAGCAATTAAAGCTTTATCGAAGATTTCACGCTCAAAGTAAAACTGTCCAAGTTGAAATTTTGCAAGACTATCTCCGTCTTTGGCACGCTCGATCAAAATCTCTTCTAGAAGTTCATCTGACATTTCTTCTTCACCTCCTTCTTCCATTGCACCCATCGAGAATGGTCTTGTGTTTGGGAGCTTTTCAGCGCTTAGTTTACGGTCGCTCAGGGGTCCAGCTGGACAAGAGAGAGGCCGTGTATCGACCTCTTCTTCCGCCATCTTGGACAATAACTGAGCAATCATCGTTGCTATAGTGACAATTTGTAAAATTTTTCTTTAAGGGAGGGGAGGGTTAGACTGGAGTTGATCTGCCAATAATGCAGCCTGGGATGATCCAGGTTCAATATGGCGGCGAATTTGAAGTCACAAGATGAAAGGGCAGCAAGACCTCTTTGCAACGATAGAAGCTGCGATCTCTGCAATACGCATTTGTCAAGGTTACCTAAGAGTTTAGGATATGGAATTATTGCTTTTACCTCGTTAGCTTGTTATCTGAACAGCTTGGATTACGATTTAGTACACGATGACATTTTTGCGATCAAAGAGAACATGGACATTCGCCCTGAAACTCCACTGCTGAACATACTCTCTAACGACTTCTGGGGCAAGCCAATGTGGAGTAATACGAGCCATAAGTCGTACAGACCGCTTTGTGTCTTAACTTTTAGAGTAAATTTCGCAATACATGGCTTAAAACCTTTTGGATACCATGGTGTCAATGTTGTTCTTCACGGATTGGTTTGTCTGTTGTATACTTATATGTGCGAAGTAGCGGCCTTCAAGTCCAGTGTGCTTGCATTTATCGCGGGAATGTTATTTGCTACACATCCTGTCCATACAGAAGCTGTAAGTTCAGGACTTTCGTAACCTTCAAACTTCTTGGATCTGATTGTTGACTCTCCCCCCACCGCCTCCTTTTAAATTAGTCACGAGAATTTCGTGTTGGAACAAGATAACAACTTCTACCTGATTATTTTTAGCATTCTCATTATATGTTTGCTGGATAATATAGGACATTACAGGGAGAAGTTACATTTTAATCATTTCAGGCAGTTCAAGAGTCAAAGAGTGAATGTACACGTAAGCTTACATTTGACAGGGTCGGCCAGGGTTTTTGGGTATTCGGTATTCAGGGGCGTTTTAAATCGGGTATACGGTATATTGCAGCTTAAATATGGGTATTCAGTATATCACTTTCTTTGAATTTCAGGTATAAAGTATTCAAAGCTTCGATTATTTTTGGGTATATTTGGAGGAATTTGGGGTATTTTGGGGTATTTTGTCGATTTTTTTTCGGGTATATTGGTATTCCACTACCCCCCCTGGCCGACCCTGATTTGAGCAGTTTGCAACCTCAAAGCATTTTGCCGAGGAATTTATTAGCTGTTATGTTTCATGAAAATGCCATGTTATACCTGAATGTTTTTTTATGCTCATTATTGTTATGATAGGTCTGTATGACTGATTTATGTGGGTAGTGTGAAATAACTGTACCATTGCAAAAAATTTCCAACCCCTCTCCTTCCTCCATAAGAAGCGTGATTAAGGGAGGAGAGGGGGCCATATTTATCGATGGAGTGGATTAGGTTGTTATTATTACTGCCTTACTTTCTCTTGTTGGATCACAGGATCCTCATGTTTGGAGGGGGAGGGCTTTTATGGTGATATGATTGAAAAATTGAATGGTCTCAATTTTTTGCATCATAACTACACCCAATTCATTTATTAAATTCTAAAAATTCCCTAAATCTGCCACATTGAACAGTTTTGGCAGAGGAGTTCAAAAGTGAAAGAAAGTGGGAGTAGTAACTGTAAAATAAAACTTTAGGTCCATTTTGAAGGTTCAGTTATTTTTATAACATTTACCAATATGTTTATATCTTCAGGTGACAGGAGTTGTGGGACGCGCTGATGTACTGGCATGTTTGTTGTTCCTACTTTCATTTCTAGCATTTGTAAGGTGAATTTCTTTTTACAAAAGCCTCTGTGATGCAATATTGAAATCTTTTTATTCTGGCTGATTCCAATTTCAGGTTGTAGGTAATTTTTAATTTGCACCCTTTTCTAGGTCTGTAGGAAACAAAGGCTGTTGCCAGATAATGTACACAATTATTTACATGGTTCTTGGTGCCATTGCTATGCTGGTAAAGGAGCATGGCATAACTGTGTTTGGTGTATGCTTTGTATATGATTGTATGGTTATTAACAAGAATTTGATTTGGAGGTAAGTGATGTCTTGATCATACCATCATATGCCAGGTTCTTTTTTTTTTTTTTAGACCTGTTTTGTTACTTTTCTTTTAAAAACATGGCAATCCTATGATGTTAATCAAATAGACTCTATGTTGCTGTGTATCTTTTCAATAATAGATCACAGATGATTCCAAATTGCGGTAAGAACTATACAGTGGCACATTTGATGTCTTCTGTGATCTATTCTGTACAGACCCACTGCAACAAGGAATCTATATGTTTTTTGTAATGAAAAGGCAAAAGGTTATTAATCTTGACATCATCTATGTGTCTGTCCTCCAATAGATCAAGAAGATCAAATTGCTTAATATATAAGTCAGTTTATCATTTAAATTACATTGGAACTTCTGTGAACTGTTGCCTTACTTGCCAAGTGCAAAAAGAACTGTGAAAGATTACATGGTGTTGGAGTTATGGTGTAGGTGACATTAAATGACTTCAAAATGTTCTTTACCCTTTAACTCCCAAGATCTCATAAGTAATTCTCCATACTGTCTGCCAAACAATTCTCAGTATGTTAGTTTGGAGAATTTGATATCAGATCAATTAGTAATCCCATAATTGATATTTTTCTTTATTCTCATCACTTGTCTGCATGATTTTGTATAGATATAGTTAGGAGAAATTCTGTCTTGGTCACTCACAGGAGTTAAAGGGTTAAGAGGAAATAGCCTGGACCTCAAGTTGATAGAAAGATCAAGAAAAGGCAATTTTTAGAGATTAAGGCCCTTCTTTTGAGGTTCTTTTGTGAAACAAGTGAATCTTCTTTTCAGGAGTAATGTTTACAATTTGTATGTTTTAAATATTTGTTCAACTATCTTTTAGTAAGTTTCTGTGAAGTAACAACAGCACATGTTTCTGTTTGACTGTATTGACCTGCAGAGTCATCAAAGAAAGAACTGTGTCAGTGGAAAACGACGTTACGGCATTGAAGCGTCTTCTATTACGAACACTTGTTCTCTCTGTATCTGTAAGTGTGAGGTAAACTTGTTTTTAAAAAGCATCATTGTGATTAGACAGTTTGGAAGCCTTTATTCAGGATTTAAAGTGCCGTGGGGATTTCGAGAACAAAAAGTAAACAACCTTTGTAATTATGTTATTGGGGAATTGAAGGTGCACGATGAAAAATGTTATTAGCGGTTTGTAGTTTGCACAATTGGCGCCAGAATCCTGGGCGTAAAATCTGACGTAAAGAAACAATACGGGACCTTAAATTTTTTAAACGAAGCTTCATGTTGTATTTGACACACACAAGAGACTTAGCATAACACAATCCCAAGTAAGTGATTGAAATCAGTTAACACTGCAGTTTTTACAGGGATAGAAATTTTGAAGAAGACTTTCTTGTTAAAATCCCTCTCCTTCCCTTCCTCTTCCTCGTCGTCATTGCCATCGTCATCATCATCACGAGCACTACATTTGACGTTTTCCTCTTCATCGATGCCGCTTCAAAGGTCGATGTATAAGTTATGTTCTTAAGTCCGGCTGTTCCATACAACTCTCTTTTAGAAATTTCATAAAATGATCGCTGGCGAAATTGTCGCGGAAATTTTGCAATCGCTGCCCCGGGTACACTACGAGATTTCTGCCGATCGTTGCGCCTGCGCCGCGTCGGGGTATGAAATCGTTAAGTGTGGCACCGGCTTATGGGCGAATACACGTAATTAGATGGAGAACCGCATCAGATGACTAAAACCTATTCACCTATAAAGAAAAAAGGCAACATTCAGTGTTCATTTAACAATTGGTTCTCTGTTACCGTACGTGCGTTCAGTTACAGATCGATCGTTCGATCGAACTTACAAAAAAGAAGTAAATTGTCAAGTTTGAATGCAGATACTTTTATACCGACCTAGAGCAAGATATTTAATTTTTGCCTGTAGAAAGAGGCGAAAAGTCATCAATCTTGGAAATTAAGCATGCCCAACATGATAATTTATAGTCAATCAGAATTAGTAACCCTAAAGAAATGTTTTTTCCTTCTTGCGTTTTAACGTGGGTAAACCCTCAGACTTAGCGCCTCGTAAAGGCCTAATTCGCCTCAGAGTTAACATCCTTTCCTACTCGATTTACTGACTTGAAGCAAACCTGGATGTTATTTTTTTCCACCACAGGTTTTTTGTCTCATGGCATTCAGAGTATGGATGCTTGGAGGAAATCTGCCACATTTTACAATTCAGGACAACCCTGCCTCATTTTCAGATTCTCTCAGTACTCGCGTTATGACTTACTCATATCTGATTGCGTTCAACTCTTGGCTGCTTTTGTCGCCAAGTGTGTTGAGCTATGATTGGCAGATGGGAAGCATACCTCTTGTGGAATCGCCGCTGGATTCCCGAAACTTAGGCACACTGATGTTTGCCATGATAGCTGTTCTTCTGGTTTATTTTGCTGTGTTCTCCAATGATACTCTGGTAAACAGCTGGGACCTTCAGTTCATTACATGTGTATTTGATTCTATTCAGTTTCCTTTGCATTGTATTCATTATTGTAATCTGAGAAAGAAAAGGGAGATAAAAAAACAAACCGGTTTGAACAAAGCAAACAAACAAACAAACACACAAAAGCAAAAAACAGATTGAAAAATATTGAGCCACAGCATTTATGCATGCATGTAATGTAATTGTCGTTTAAGGGTAACGACTCAGTAGTTGATGACAGAGCATCTTTTAAATTCTATATTTGTCTCGGTAGCCACGTGATCAAGATGTCCTCGTTTTGTCTCTGGCCATATTGGCTATTCCATTCCTTCCGGCTTCTAACCTGTTCTTCAGAGTTGGATTTGTTGTTGCTGAGAGAATACTTTACATACCAAGGTATGCTGTGAAATGTTACAGTGAGTATTTCATCTGGAAGACAAACTTGTCTCGAAATCCTGACCGGAATTAACGTCTTTTGATTTGATGCCGGCGAAGTGACGTGTGTTGACGTGACTTCACGTGACGGGATTTGACTTTTCGTGACTTGGCGTGACTTGATTTGTTCATGTGACT